GTTTACAATATAATATCAGTTATAGATATTTTAAAATTACCTTAAAACGAATTATTCTTTGGATTACCAAAGTCATTTTAAAAGAATGATATGAGCGAAATGTTCTCTGTTCGGAATAAGTATTTTACAATTTTCTTTTCGCTTCATTTGGTTATGTGTCCACACCGGAGCATTTCAAAATGGGGATATGTACGACAGCATTTCGTGTCAGATGCTACTTAATTGTTTGTTTGTTTTTTGTTAGATGAAAGAACACCCGCGCCCACCCTCTTTCAAAAAGATTTTTTTTAAATCACCGAAACACACACACACCTAAAAATGTCACTGTTGAGAATAAGAAAACCTCCTTTTAATTTGAACGCCTCTCTCTTAGCCTCAACATTAAATAAAGAAAAGCCATTCTCTCCCGAAGCTGTTTTCAAGCTTACACACCGTTAACAAATCTCGCAGCTTGACAGTGTTTAGTTGACAAAAGTCGTCCCCAGAATCGATACGTTGCATGGAGCTACGCTATTCCGCCGCTGTTTAATCTGTCATTGTTTGATTCAAGATATCAATTAGACCGATCAAATTTCTATCGTAATTTGGTCAGCTGTAGCCAAACGCCCGTCTTGCCGGGGCATGCTCTATCACTAGGGAACAATCGTAACACAATCCAGCCCCCAGTATTGAGCTAGACCACAGCGGGGGTTCTTATTCCAGCAGTTTCACAACATAATGTTGTTTCTTCAGATAGATATAGCGTTTCGACTTGTGTTTCTTCCGATATAAGCGCTTCGACTAGTGTTTCTTCCGATATAAGCGTTACGTTTGACTAGCGGTGTTTCTTCGTCCCCTGAGAGAGAACAAAGAAGAAGAACCCAATCGGATAGTTAAGTTGCTGCTACTGTTTCTTTTTTCTTTTGGTTTTTGTTCTGTGTTTGAACGCGACTCGAATGACATGACAAGTGCGTGTGGAGTGTCGTAGGACGTGTGAAGAACCTGTACTGTATATATCGCCGGTGTCTTTTTGTCGTGGCATTTCCGTACTCTATGGCGGTGCTTGAGGTGTTCAGGAGTGCTACAGAGGAGTAAAGTGCTTGAGGAGTATATTGTTGTTGTTGAAATTTTTACTGGACGAGGAAGGAGAACGCGATGGGATGTGTGTGTAGTGTGGGAATATTATAATGTGTGGGAAATTTGTTTGTGGTGAGTACAGTTTGAAGCGTATTACAGCGAAGGTGGGAAAATGTATCATTACAATATGTTGTTCGTGCTTGAAGAAAAAGAAGTATGGGCTTTTTTGTTTTTTTACTTTCCTGTTTTGTCCCTATCACGTGAGCTCACCAAATGCCTTTCTGAGCTTTTTTTTTTTCAGAATTCAATCCTCACTCTAATGTTTCTGCTGCGTTAAAAACATGACAGGACCATGCTCTGTTTCGGGCTTTGGTCCCTCTGAAAACTCCCAGTTCACTGTTTATGCACCCTCCGCTAGTACATCTTTCGCTTTTGCTTCTGGTACTTCTTTGTTGTATTGGATTGTGTTTGTAAGATAATGATGGTAGAAAGATCTGAATAACTTATCTCTTCGTTCAGTTAAAAATATGTAATATATGGTATTCACCCCTTTTTAGGGAGGTGGGG